CTGCTCGGAGCGCCGTACGTCGCTGGCGCCCTACCTGGCGCACAGCACCCGCCACTCGCGGACGTGCTGCAGCCCCGCCTGCGCCCAGCCTTTTGGGCCTGTAGTTCGCAGGTTGCACGGGGACCTGGACCTTGCGGACATCAAAAAGGTGCGAGGGAAAAGAATTTCAGTTGACGTTTGTCTGTACAGCACAGTAGGCTGTAGCTCCGGTTGCACTGGGACCGCGTCTACGGCTTCAAAAAGGTGCGTGGAGGGAAAAAAAAGCTAATGGGCGGTAAGTAGTGAACTCCTAGTGAAATCGAGGGCGTGGCCACCAAAAACGTCCAATTCTCCGCAGCCAGGCGGGGGGACCACAACGGCCGGCACTCAAAGGCAGCGGTAGCCTAAGCGCGCGGGCCGGCTCAAAAGGCATGGCAGTCAACCGGGGGGGAGCTGGGGGAGCGCTGGTGGAGCTAAACCCATGCCTCCGCAGGCTGCCGGTATAAGGTCGTTATGTTTTGCGCGTGTGCGACGTGTGCTCTGGCCATGCCGCCGAGGCAAAGCTCCAACGTTCTCATGTCGCCGCGTCATGTGCGTGCGCATAAGTTTGGCGGGCGAGCATCCTGCAGCGGCAGCGGAGCGATGCCGCTGCGTGGCGTGACCTGCCGGGGAATTGGGGGGGAGGGCGGGGGGAGGAACCGCCCTCATCCGCAACCGGTGTTGCTGGCGGCGTGCAGCCGGCGTCGCCTCGTCAGTGGTCTGGGGCGCCGTCGCACCCGTGAGAGCACCTGGGACATCTCCACGTGAGGACGCGAAAAGGGGTGGTGGCGCTGAGCGAATCCGATACCATTTCGGCAGCATCCAAGTCCGGTGCTTGGTCGCTCTGTGCGGCCGGGGAGCAGCTGCATTTGGACGAGCGTTTGCAAAGCTGCTTCTCGACGTGCTTCCACATCAGTGCCACTTGGCGGGCCCAGGTGAGCGGCTTCCCGAATTCGCCTGCCATGGCAGGGATGCGGCGTCGGTCCTGCGGAAACTGCGTCGTCCGGCCGTCCGTCGGAGTGGGGGCCAGGGCGGGAGATTGTGCCGCCATGGTGTCGTCCGCGAGAGGGTGAGCCAGCAAAGATCTTCGCGCGGGCCGAGAGCTCGCGCATCAAGCCTCGTAGCTCCACGGGGGTGTGTGGCGACAGGCGACCGCTCGCCTCGGCGATGATCGTGCTTGCAGCTCCCCAAGGGATCGAGAACAAAAAAAATTGACGTCGCGTGCAGTTGGATGGCCTGGGGGGTTCGCCATTTCTTGTTGGGCTGCGGGGCGGAGGCGGCAGCCTATTCGCGACCCGCTTGCAGCATAACGGCCCGAAAACGCGGAACAGTAGCAGCACTTGTGCCTGTGTCGGCCGTTGTCCCTGGCTTGGCCATGGCAGCCTGCGGGATGCCATATGCTCAATACCTGTTCTGCCGGCTGCGTCCTGCAAGGGCACGCTGACGATGGGGCTGCGGGCCCGGAGTTGCAAGTGTGGGGGAGGCTTGTGGCGGGGGGGCCGTTGCGGCGAGTGTGTTGCACTTAGAGTAGGTTGCAGAGAAGGTCCTTGGACGAAGTGCCTGCCTGTGTCGCTAGGGCCGTCATCTCTGCGGGCCCCTGGCCGCACACCCTAGCGTCGCTGCAACATGCCATGGTGGGGAGGAACTCGGGGTGGCGGCGGCATGCGGGCGGATGCCGTCGCCGGTGCTCCCGACAGCACACCGAGGCAGAACCAGCCCCATGATAAATACGACGGTCCTCACCCGGGCGGGTAGTATGCTGGCGTGGCGCCGGCACAGACCAGTGCTGCATGTGGCCGGCGCTGCCTTGCGAGCTGTGCGCACTGCCCACTCGGCCTCTCCGAGACCTCGTCCGTTTCCGTGCCCAGCGAGCTTCCCCAGCCGTGCGAAGCGCCGCTTCGTCAGTATGGGCGAGGCGGTGGTGGGCCATGCTGGCCGTGTCGGTGCAACAAGCCTGAGCACTGCCCTGGTCAGCTTGGCCGGCGCTCCATCGCGCGATTCGAAAGTCGGCCGTAGAGCTGGAACGCGCGCCGAACCTTGCTGATGCAGCAAGGCCGAGCCGCCTGCTGCTACGCGGCCCGTAGGGCAATCTTAGCGTAGGGCAGGGGGCTGCGCCGAAACGTGCGGCAGACCTGTGAGACTCATCCCAAGGGAAAACGGTCCGCGTAAAAAAAAATCGCGAGCTGCGCACAGGCTTTCGGCGCAGCTTATTCCGGTCCTATGTGCTCCCGCCATGTTGTGCGGCTGTAGTACAATACCTTGTTTACATAAAACACTGACTCAATAGGGCCGTCGCCTCTCGCAGCATGGCGGCCTCGGCTTGCGCAGTGCGGCGCGGCATGCGCCTGCTGCTTATTGCAGGGCCTCATGGGCTGGCACCTTGTGCGCAATAGCTCGGCGCGTCCCCGACCTCACACACGAACTGGCTGGCTCCTTGGCTTCAGGCCGACTGCTCCCGCTCGCTTTCCAATCGGCGCGAGTCGCCCGCGACTCGTTTCATGCCATCGGCTTCGACCCCCGGCTTGGGCTGAGCTGAGTTGCCAGCTCAGTCCAAAGAAGAACCGACCTTTGACTTCGCTCGCGGGTGGCAGCCTCCAGTGTCCCAAGCAGTTGACGACTTCTGTTATCGGGCCTGAAAAGTCAGCAGGGGATAAAACCATCCTGTTGTGCAGACTGCACTTACCCGTGCCATTTACTTCTGCCAGATGCCGTTGCGGCGCACTCCACGATTCTTGTGGTGACCACCTCGCCGCCTGCCCCTCCCCTGCTCAGGCATTTTTCGAGCAAGGGGCGAGCATGGAGGTCATAGCCACTGGCCTGCCGCTGTGGGGTGGCGCCAAGCTCGCCGTTTGTTTCCGCGTTATTGCTGCCGGCCAAGCACACAAGGCCTGGAAGCCGTATTGTCGGAGCTGCCCTGCTCATTGCAAGGCGTGCTCAATAACGCACGCGCCCTGAATTGTGCAGGTCCAACAGTTGCCGGTTCACTGTCATGGAGCGTTGAGGCCGCTACCTTTCTCCGATTGCTTGCAAAGTGCCGCGCCCGATTTGCTCCGCAGCATTCCGCCTCCCTCACGCGCTGCCGCCATCTCGGCTTTTACGCAACGGTGGTCTGCGTTCCTCGCCTTCGCAACCCCGCGCTCTTTCGCAGCCAGCCTGCTATCCGTGCCCTTCACTGGCACGTCCAACGTCCACGGGAGTTGCCGCCTCTGAGTGACGTCCTTGCCGAGTCACCCTCGCAGCCCCTGCTTGCCAGCCGTGTGGTGTGAGCTCGCTGCCCGGGGCTTGTTTGCCGTAGACTGTCGCCTTGGCTTTGGGCTTGTGCACAGGGACCGCGTTTGCTGTGGATGTCGGCAAGGTCGCTTGAAAGAAAAAAATGCAGGCTTCGCTTTTTGCTGTTCGCTTGTGCTGCTATGTGCTGCTCTCACTACCGTGCGGGCATGCTGTCCGCCTTCGCAAGTTCCGTCTTTAGCCGGTTCCGTCTTTAGCCGCAGTGATGTCCTAACAGAGGCTCGGTCCGGGGAAAGCTGAACCACCAGTCGTCAGAGAAAACTGAACGCCGGCCTCCTCCACCCAAAGCTGTCAGACGGAATCGCGGTACAAAGCGATGCACATCTCAGATGCCTCATGAGACGGTTGCCGACATCAGCTGCATGGCTCTAACCACTGGCCGGGTGTGTGTTTCAGCCGTGCGCGTGTGGAGTACGTCAGCCGCAATCCCAATGCATGTTCTCTACCGTGTTTCGGCGGTCTATCATCCCTAGCCTGGGGACGACGAAGGAAATTCGAAAAAAACAACTCGACCAGATAGCAACCCCTCGCGGGGTGTGACTGCATGTGGCATGTGCAGCATGGAGGGCCAAACAGGGACAGACCATGCGTAATGCATTTGCAGTGACGAATCACGCGAAGAGCGCTTGGTGCCAGGTACTTGAGCAAATTTGGTTACGAAATCGGTGGTCTCGACATGTGTTAGTTTGACGTGTTGTACTTCGAAGCAGATTGGATCCATGCATGAAGCAGGCACAGGCAGTTTCAATTTTCGATTCCAGCTGGCTGCGCCGAAAAGTATACCGGAAGCTGCGGTTCTGCAGCTGGAGGTATATCTGGACGCCCGGTCTGCACATCTGTAGTTCCTTCTATCGCGGAGTTTCAGTGTCGGTTAGACTAATTCAGAAGCACAGGGCAGCAAATCAATGGTTGATTGAGCGCAGGAGAAGGAAGTGCCTGCTGAGGTCGGTGCTGAGGTCTGTTGAGGTTGGCGGACCATGCTACTGGTATATGGGTTGTCTGCGGGTTCGGGGTTGCAGAAAGATGCTTCGGTGGTAGTAAAAGTCGGGATTTAGAGCTGCAAGCTGGTTACTTTATGCTTGATGTGCGAGATAGTCAGATGGTTCCCACTTCTTTCTTGGCTAGCGTTTGGGAGGCTAGTCAGTAGCACTAAAGTTTTCTCCCGTTGTAGGCTGATCGCATGCACCAAAAATATTTGCAAGCTAAGGACGAGCATTGGCCCGAAGTTGAGGCGGAGCCCAACTTTTGCGAACGGCAGAAGCGGGCGAAACAGGCATTGGTGGTTTCGACGGGGCAGGGGCCAGAGTGACATGAACTTCTTGAGCCCGTCTTGTCCAAGTTGCCTTGGCCCCGTGTAGTAACAGTTTATTGTGATGTAGTGTGCGATTGGATTGGCGCTAAATGAAGACATTTTCAGAACCATAAGGCGTGAGGGAGAGAGAGAGGTACAGACAGAGGGAAGGACAAGTTCCGAAAAGGCACAGAAGAGATGAACCGTGTAGACGCACTCGACATGCTGTGCCGAGTGTGTTCCCGCCGATCGAGCTTACAGCCGTTAAGAAGCGGGCAGCTGCAATGGCACCAATGTCGTGATCACCTGCATGGTCGCATGTGTGATTGTGCACTAACTTGCAGACAAAGTGAACTGCCAACGCCGGTGTTGGGTTGTACTAGCTTGGCTCTCGTTTTTGTTCTGACGCAGACCACCGGCCTGTTGATGACATCCCTGTCCTTGACTGTTGTCGATTGGTTTTTCCACGCAAACAGCACAACAAAGCTGCATCATTGTTTGGAGCGGAGAGGAGTTCACTCGCATTTACTGGTTGGAGAATTCCGCAGAAGCCGCTCCTGCAGGTGCGCAATATCTCCATAGGGCCTGGTGCCAATTGGACGGAATGGTCACAAGGCTTCGGCGTCGCCTTTGTGGCTGTGCTGTCTGATTCGTTTGATTCGGCACGTGCTGTCCTGGAGGCACGTTAAGCCAGAATATCCGTCCTCACATCTGGCACCAGAGACTGCACCATATCCCGGGACATATTGCATGCCGTTTCAACCTAGGCTGCTCGTGTTTCGCTGCAGGTATTTTGTGATATCGGATTGTCAGCAAGCGCTTGCAAACTTCACGCGCCCAGATGCATTTATCCTAGCGCTTTTCTATGCTTTTCTTTCATGAGCTAACGCGTAAGTTGTAGATGGCGGTAGAACAGGTGTTGCTGCAAGATGCGTAGCCGAGATTTGCAATTGATTCCTCTCGGTATGCCAGGCACAGGTTGAAGTTCGAATTTCATGCGCAGCAGCCAAACGGATCAGAATTTAGCGTCGAGATGCTGCTTGGCGTGAAGCTGGCTTGCAGGGTTCGTGGTGGATTGCGGGCTCAGGTATTCGCAAAAATCGGAATTTTGCGGCTCCGAATTTTGCTGTGTAAGTTTGCAGGCCACGATTTCGCAATGCAGTTAGATGCCTGTCAATCTTGGAAACTGGGGCAGATGCTGAGGCGAGGCATGCTTCTAGCAAATGCTGCTTGGATGGAAGCGGCAAGCAGAGAAATCGCAACTGATCTGTCCACCCCGGCAACTGCACGATCATTGTCGTAGATCCTGATTACCTAGGCGTTACAGCTCTGCTGAGTTTTCAGTCGCCACCACCACCACCACCACCACTACCACCACCACCACGACCATTACTAGTGCCACTACCACTACCACTGTCAATACCAATACACCAAGTGGGTGACTAAGAATACCAATACGAAGAGCGATAGCACTACTGCTGGCCCTAGCACTAGCACTGGCACCGGCATTAGCATTAGCACTGGCACTAGCAGTGGCACTAGCAGTAGCACTGCCACTACATCGCTACCACTGCCGCTACCACAATCACCACCGGCAACAGCACCAGCAACAGCACCAGCAACAGCACCGGCACCGGCACGGGCACCGGCAGCCACTGCCACTGCCACCACGACCGGCACCTCCATGGCCACCACCGCCACCACCACCATCACCTCCATCACGGCAACTGCGACTACCACAAACACCACTACAACTACTGTTTCTGCTACTTCTGTTACTACTGCTACTACTATGACTGCGACGATGACGACCACAACTGTTACTGTTGCTGTTGCTATTACTCGTATGTCAGGATTGGCATGTTGTTATTTCGTAGATTGTTTTTTGTCTATGGCAAGTCGTCTTGCCATTTCTGCGATTGTTTCTATGGAAAACTGCAAATTATGTCCACTGTGGCCCTACTGTTGTTATTACTTATGAATTCTGCTATGGCTTGTGTGAAGATATTGCTATGACAATTGCTCTGGTTGTTGTTATGGGTATTACTCTCCGATGACAAAAACTATCTCGATGAGATGACTAGCACTATCAATTTTGCTATTGCCAGTGCGGTTACCATTACTATCACTATCACTATCACTATCAGCAGTACTAGTACTAGTACTGTTCCCAGTTGTTACTTTTGGTAACGGCTCTGGCCACTCACTCTTGCGATTGCTTTATGTTACAGAATTTATGTTGGCCAAGTGCTACTGCCGTTCCCACTTGCCATTGCCATAGACGGTGCCGCGAGCATTGCCCTGGTGATGGCGACATGATCTGCGCAGCAGAGGTATTATTTCTAGCTTCCTTCGTTGTTTTCCTGCATTGGTTTACCAAGAGGACGGGGACGGGGAGACATGCCAAGTCGGCCTGCACATGGTGAGAAACAGTGAATGTTCCTACTTGGAAGGACCCTGGCTTTTGGAAAAAGCGCTGGGTATGTGCATCCGGTCATCTGGACACTAGCGGCGGGACGCTTGGTCGCATGAAACCGATGGCATCTCAACTGACTCGACGAGCAAGTCTGCCGCAGCACTACAACATGCAGAGTGAAGGCAGGTCTGGTGGTAGAACCATTCATTGCTAATCGCTATTTGCATTTCAACTTGCCGATGGGTCCCAGGAATGATTACGCAGTTTGTCGCTCAGGCCAGTGAGTCTAAGTCAAACCATGAGGGCAGCGTGGGTCGCCATTGATCACCTGCTCATGGCGCTGTCTCGGCGACATGTCGATTGCTGCTGAGACGATGCACACCATCCATCTGCTCGCATACAAATATGATGGTGATGGCCTCAAAGCTTGTGAAGTTCTTTCGGAGATCCTTTTCATGTTGGCGCAGGCGCATCTGCCTGAATTCATTGCATTGGGTGCCACCATTAACCAGATAGTGCCTGCGACTCTTCCCCAAAGCAGTGCAGGTGATTCAGACGTCATTGTTGATTTTGATAGCACTTGGCTACACACTCCTCCAGTCCAAGATTGGGGAGCTAGACTTGATGCCGCCTCCTCGGTTGTGGCATCGGAACAACATAGGAGAAGGGATGTGTGCAGAGTGCAAATGTGGTTAGCTACCGAGGATTCCGATGTGCTTCATGATGCCCGGCGGCAAGCCAGGTACAAGTCTGAAAGCAGCAATGGCGTGGATGAAAACTCTGCTGTCCCGCAGTAATTCATTGCTTAGGATTGGAGTGATCCACATCATGCTGGTAGGGTTTGGCAAGATCAAGGACGGTTGTTCTGCCAGTTGAAGAACAACCGTGCCAGTTTCCTGCTTTCCCGGCAAATGGTTCGACTCTCACGAACTCTTGGAGGATGATGCATCCTACAAGTACCACGAGAATGAGGGAGTGATCGGCTGGATACTTCTTTCTCTCAGGCCGTGTCGCACCCTGTACTGCATCACACCTGGTGACCCTTCGGTGAAACATGGGTTTTTCTTAGTTCCAGAAAGCTTTCCCATGACCTGATGGCAGGTTAGGCCTGTACGGCTGGTTCCTCTGGGCAGTGCAGTCTTCTGCTCGCGAGGCCTATCGTGTGGTAAATGCTGGGTTGCTACTCATGTGGTCAAATGAGCTTGTGCTTTTTTCGTTGTCTCTGGGCCCTTGAGTGGAAACTGCTACGATGGCAACGATTGGGTAGACTTCCTGGCTTTGGAGACGTTTGTTCTCGGATCATAAAGAGCTCGTGCTCGAGGGTGGCTTCAAAATCGCCAACTTCCTGCGGCAGTTCCGAATCGCTGGCTCGTTGCCTGACTTGATTTGTTTTCAAATTCTCGTCAAGTGGCTTGGATGGGACATGAACTCTGTTCTCGAAGGTTATACTTCCTTGCATTTCCTGCTGGCGCCTTGGAATTGGGACGGGGGCTCCGACTCCGCACGGAGGTCGCAAGAATGCGGGCGCCTTCTCTTTCTTTGCCCAGTGCTTCGTCTTACTGAGGCCATATTTTTGGCCCGGAACCTAGAGAAAGAGTTTGGAGCAGTCCTTACAGGAGAAGCCTGCTGCTTGCTTGCTTGTTTGCTTGCTTGCTTGCTTGGTTATAGTCTTAGTGATAAGGTAGGCTAACGCCGGGGCGTGCATGCCCTTCGGCTTTTTGTGTGTGTTCTGCTCGCGGAAGGTCACACAACTTTTTGCTCAGTACCTGCAGCACAGCGTCATGACAATAGGCAGGTCGCGGGAACTCCTGGAAGAAGTAGAATTGCTACCAATGCTACCAGAGGCATCTTGTGAAATGGCAGGTCAGATGGTCATGCAGACAGGCTTCAACCTTTGGTTGTCCTCTCTCTTCCTGACCCGAGGGGAGTACTTCAAGGCACAAATCCTCCGCCACTCTTCCGCGCCGCTTCACTGGCTTGCGAATGCACTGGCTGTTGCACTTCAGTTCGAGGGATATTCATAGGATCAGTTTCGAAGCTATCGGAAACGCGAAACGCAGAATTGGCCGTGCTTTGTTCTGGCTCAATAACGTGGTGCCGGGGTGCCGTGCTGGAGCCTGCCCTGGTAGGACGGCTGTGCTTCGTGTTTTCTGTCATGGATCAGAGCTACAAGTGGGCTGCGGCTGCAGCGGCAACAGTAGCTTCTTCATGCGGTTGCGCATGCAGGAGTCAACATGTTTGCCGCCATGCTGCTTGATGCAGAGCTCAAGTTTTGTGAATGTGCTTTGCGCAGCCGCAAGCTTGTTTAACTCGGAACAGGTGTTTTCGGGTGCATACTCACACAGGTCACCAGTCCAGCGAGCTTGCGATGGGCTTGCTGCGGTACTTAGACTTAGACGGGAGCACTAGAAAGAACAGGGAACAAAAACTCCAAGAGCAAAGAAAGAAACCATGGGAGGGCAGAGTGGAGCCACACCGTGCAGCAGATGTTTGGGAGTGCAGATGGTGAGCCGCAAAAGCAGATGTGTTTTGTGAAAGCGCTTTGGGGATGCGTAGGAAGACCAAACAAACCCTCGACGCAACATGACCGGCAACCTGAATCAAAATTGAATGGTGGCTGGCAAACTGTAGATTTAAACTGCAACCTAAGGGGAGAGGTGGTCGGACGCCCAAGATGAACCACGAAAGCAGAATTACATGGGAAGCTCGAACCACCGATAGGTGTGCGTGCTCATGCATACATGCACGTATGTATGAGCGGACTTGCACACGTATGTACAAATGCATGTATGCATGTATGTAGTGCTGTAATGTACTGTGTTGCTATGTCATGCATTTCAACGTATGAACTGTTGTGCCTCAGAATGTAATGCAGTGTACTGGAATGTATTGAAATATGCATGTACGTATGCATGTTTGCATGCATGCATTTGGGTCGGTAGGCCAGTAGGTCGGTAGGTCGGTAGGTATGTATGAGTATGCACTTCTGTCGGTATGTATGTACGTATGCATGTATGTAACTGTATGTATGTATGCATAAAAATCAAGTGCGAATAAATAGATAAATAAATAAACATGTAAATCTATATATATATATAGACAATCAAATAAACCAGTAGATAAATAGATAAATGAATTAGTAGTAATATAAAGCAAATAAATATATAATACACATATATATATATATAATGATATATATATATATCTCGATGTGTATGTGTGTATATATATATGCACGTGAAGTTTATACGCCCTCTCCCTGCACCTATCACGACCAGCGGTTCCGAATCCCGAACGACTCAATCTCTGGAGGTGTTGTGCTATCATATCATGTGTGCACTATTATTGAAACTTCTTGAAACAGCTATGACATGAGATTTCAGTCACGCAGTATGCCAATCAGATCGAATCCGCCGCCCTCTGCTTGCCAATCACCCAACCGGTACAACGTGTGGAACTTTCGGACAGTCAAATGTTCCCGAAGTCAAAAGAAACCCGATGGAGACATCAACAACTTCCAGGTTGTGATATGTTGTCAGCTTAGCTGCACAACCTTTGGTCGTTTGATGGTGTTCTTGTTTTGTCGAGGTCTGGACTTTTGACTCGTCATGCATAGACATGGGCGCGGTACCAGGCTTCTGGGTACGTTTGCGACTCTTCACGGTGCCGTTGTAGCATAGGTAGTGGCGAGCACATCCCGGCATGCCATCAGGCAGGACTTCAGATTGTGCAGATGTTATGCGGCAGCTGACGGGAACAAACAAAGTGTAGAACGAAGCCGTCAGGCGAGACTGATCTCGAGCTTGAAGAGGGCCTGCAGTCCTTATGGCTGCTCCTGTGCACGCACCTTCGCAGAGAACTGGGCACTGACGTGAGGGAGCACGGAATTGTGCTCGTTGCCTCAAGGTTTCTGGTTGTCTCCATGCAGCTCGGTTTCGCCATGCTGGAGGCGAGGTCGAGATTTTTTGAGCCACGCTGAGCTCGTGGCTCTTGTCAGGTTGGTGGAGTCCGTGAGGCTCACAGGATGACGGTTCTCGCCAAGACGCTTGGGCGCCTTCGGTATGCCGCACCCGCTTCGCTCCGAAGGATTCTGGCACTGGCTTTTCAAGAGTGACTTCGGTCAAGACCACGTGCAATCATTGCAGGCCCTGTTCTGGAGCTGAGTGTTTCGGGGAATGCCGTGGTTCTGCCACGTGACCAAGTAAAGATCGAATCAACACTGGCCGTGCGGCACAGCTCGCAAAACTCGCTCCGATTACTTTCGGTTTGATTGCGTGTGCTGGCTTGACGTGACATCTCCCTGTGAAGAGCGCGGCCGTGCCAAGGAATGTCATGGATTCCGTGGTGACATGCCTTGTCTTTGCTGCGACTGTGCGTTTTTTGCACCTTAGCTTCAGCTTTGTTGTGTCATCGACTTTCGTCGCTGAAGCCATTCCTGTGCTGACGATGAGCTGTGCTCTTCACTAGCGTTTCGGCTTTCATTGGAGCCTTTGAGCTGTGAGGGTGATCGTGTTCCCAGAGCCGTTAAGGCACCTGAGCCTTGTTCTTGGCCCAGATGGACACATCCGGTGGCTCGGACTCGGCAGATCAGGATCAAGCATGAGCCGGCTTGCGGAAAGTGTTGGCAGACCTTCTCGCCATGAATCCTGTACCTACAATGCATGGGGCACTTTAGAGAGTTGAGAAGCAAGGTTTGAGAAGGAGCTGTCCAACTGGGCCTTCAGTGCCACCTGTGCAACGACTTTCGTCCGCAGATTCTTCAGGTTTATGCTTGTGCTTCTGTTAAATGTCAGCTGTCAAGGATCTGTTCTGGGTCAATGGCAGAGCGAGCTCACATGATAGCACCTTGGCCGGATGATGCAGGTGATGCTTCATCTGCAAAAGGGCTGGTATTGGTTTGCGTGCGCACTGAGGCATACCTTGTCCATGCCGGCGTTGCTCGGCTTCCCTTGTGTGGCAAGCAAATGTCATCAATGCCCTTCTGCAGGGTATTCTCCCTCGACATTTCAGGTGATCGGTGTTGTGGTTTATCCACTCCTTGCAGAGGGTGCCTGGGGCTGCGACACCAACTTTTTCCTGTATCGCGAACTGCCGCTCGGTTTCCAAGGTGGTTGTAGCACGTGTGGGTATAACGGTATAACGGTTTGCCGCTTTGTCAAGGCACGGCCGTTTTCAGAAAAATGTCGACTACCACGATGGCGCTGGCAGTGGTGTCGTTGCTTGGAGAGGAATCTCGAGCCTTTGTGCTCATTTTGAGTGTTGCAATGGCGCGAGGAGCAGATTGCCGGTATGTGGTGTTGCTTTTGCAGCTCAAGCGGGACATTGCATCAGTATACAGCAGAAGCCGCGAGATTGTAACCTTGCTGCCCAGAAAGCAGGCATTGCAATCCTAGACACTACCGAGCGACTGACTGTGGACATGAGGAGGTTTCGCTAGGCTTTTAACACAGGGTCATAGCAGCACAGTGGCATGGTCGCTGTTCGCGAAATCGTGCGTCTGTTGGGCTTGGCTGGTGATGTGGTCGCTGGGCAGCACGTCATTGGGACAGATTTTCGTCATACTGCCGATGGTCAAAACCTGATTGCAGATCGAAGCACGCGGCGTGATGAACACAGAGCTGCTTGATTGGTGACCTGCTTCTGCAGGTCAGCATACTGTCGATTCTGCCTCTTCTTTCCGAGGCCTGAGGGACGTGCAAGTGTTAACCTGCTCCAACCGCCCATGATGAGCTTGCTTTCGCATCTCGCATCATTGCTCTTAGGTGAAGTTTGGCCACTTGATCCCAGCTCGTGGAGAGGCTAGAAAGGAAAAGGCTGCCTCGGAAGAGCAAGGCGGATGCAAGTAGCGGTGGCGGTAACGTCAGCACGGGGGCATCTGCGAGCGGATCTCGTGTGAAGGTGGTGGGGAGTGCGCCAGAACAACTCCCCCTGTTTGGGCATTGTGCCTTCTCCTGGTGCGGCAGCAGCGTACCACAGCATCTGAGAGCTGTCATGGCTTGAACATGTCTTATTACCAGGTGGCAGAGCTTTGCAGCGGGGCCGCCTTCCTGAATCCATCGGACAAGCAGGCCGCTGAAACTCTGAGGTTGGCAAGCTGGTCTAGAGTGGCTGACAGGCTCGACGGGCAATCGGCGAGGTTGTCCGTGCCCAGAGGAATGACAGAGTCTCAGCTCTCGCTTTTGCTGCTGCGAATCTCTCGACGCAATTGGGAGTGGTCGGGGATGGTCAGGGCTAGGCGGCAGATGCAAACCTACAACAGGGTTTAGGGTGCACAGGGTGATCCCGAGGCAGAAGCTGGACTGGAAGAGACGATGAGCGGCGTTGTCAAACTCCTTGATAGCAAAGATGTCCACGAGCCTAGCCTGAACCTCTTTGTTTGCCATCCATGCAAGCGGTACCCAGGGCAAGAGCATCAGAGATGTGTTGATTCTTGCGGTAAAGTACGTGTGACAGTGTGCTGCGTTCAAGGAGCTGGCCAAGCTCTTGGCAAGCGTGGGAGGGCTTGCTGGCACTCTGTGCATTTCTGCCCTGAGTGGGGCCGGGGACACCGGTGGCGTTGGCGTGGCTCGGCCATTCGTGAGCTACACATCTCTGTGCGTCTTCCATGAAGCTTTGCGTCAATACTTTATACTGTATGACATTATGCCTCCAGATGATAGCTAGGAGCCTGTCTCACGCTCCGAGTTCGGAATTCGGGCTGCTGCAGCGCCGCTTCGCACTTTGCTGACTGCTGAGCGATTCTGGGGCCTTCTGGCTGTGACGGCTCTCTTCTTACTGGGGAACTGGAGCCTCGCAGCGCACACGAGAAGATGCGTGTCCCAGTCACGAACATTTGATGTTTTGTCGTCGTTCTTACATCTAACATGAGTTTCTTCAAGGATGGCGCTGACAACACTGGTGCGAAAGCCGGCAGCGACTCACCTCGTGTTTACACTTGAGCTCAGCCTTGACGCAAAGGTTGTTCGGGGGTCAGAAGGCAATCCTTCAGATCTTGAGCTGGAGGTCAATTTGAGGCTTGGGCTTCCAAAAGCTTGTGAGCCGCGGCGTGGAGACCGGAAGCCCAAAACATTTTGAGGTTTGGGCTGCTTGTGGGAACTTTGGCTCCCTTGTGCGTGCCCTGGCCTTCGCCGCAGCAGCAGGTGCTTCGTATGCTCCTACCCATCTTCTACCCTGTCTGTTCTTGTTCGTATGGTACTGGTGCATGTGAGCATCTTCGCAGCGAAGGAGCACAGGATTCCGGGCCACTCTCGACTTGGGCAATGCTCAGCGCTGCCGCCTGTGTTGCCCGAATCTCGCGGCAATCTGGCTGCAGAGCTCAGAGACCGAGAGAGCCCGAAGGCTGCGACTCGTTTTGTCTGAGGCTCATCGTCCACGAACAACTCGCCCCGGCTGTTTGGATAAGCAGTTGGTGGTCCGGGTCGAGACTTAGCGTCGATCCTCTGGTGTTGACCACTTTGGGACTGGAAAGCTGGTGGCAGCCTCAGGGCTGAACTGGGCAACTGGCCCGGCAGCCACAGCAATCTGAATGTAATGAGGTGCCTGGCAGTACTTCTCCTCATCTTGATTAGGCCCGCAGCCAGAGCTCTTCCACCATCACGTGTCATGTGTCACGCGACCTTGAGAGATGCTTGAGAAATGGTGGAGGAGACCTCGAAAGATGCTGTTCCTCGCTGCCATGACGTACCCGTGCATCGCCCTTGCTCAAGGACGCCGCCGCTCTCTTTTCGCTTTGCTTTATGACGTCATGGATCCACTCTTGGCCTCTTGTCAGAGGACCCCCTGCCTCGCAGAACTTCGAGGCGTTCGTCGCACCGGCCTTGCAACGTGGCCCCATCGTCATGGCTGTTGCATCGGCCGCTCGGGAGCAATGAGGAACGGCCCCATTTCGACGCCTAAAAGCAGTGCTCGCTGCTTCAAAAAAGGCGCTGCTCGTCTTCGTGGGTGGCTTTCCTACCATGCTCTGCAGCCTCGTGCTCATTCAGGCGCCCGACCGCAAATTCCCATGAGTAGACTCGCAGACAGCCTGCATCACACAACGCCTCTTAGCTGGTCGAGGCGTTGCTCTTCATTCACGGGCTGGACAGCTCCAAGCTATGAGATAGCGGAAAAAGAGGGTTGCTGCCTGCTCGGGTGCGATAGTCGGTGGCCTCCAGAATGCTGAGCAGCATTCCTGCGGCACGTTGATTCTGGATGCGGGGCTGCATTCGTCCGCGGAGTCGCAGCAGGCCAGTTGCAAAAAGGGTGCAGCCCCAACGTCCCGCCCAGGTTCATCTGAGCGGCGGGTGCGCTGCATTGGCTGGAAGCATGCTGCTTGGAAGGTGGCTCGTCCGTAAGCATGGTGCGGACAGACACCGCACAAAAGCCCGGAAGTACTTTTCAACCGCTTCGAGGCGGATTATGTGCAAGGAGCTAGACGAGCTCCTTGGGTGCAGCTAGAGTGTTCTGCCGGAGCACTGGCGTTGTTCTGAAACAAGTGTTAGTGTCCAACACGGAGCATCAGCGTTTGCATCTCAGGGATGAGGAATGCGTCCGGCCTGCACTAGTTTTGTTCTTTTTTGTGCTGAGTCGGCACAGCGAGCACGCCTCAGAAATCGGCCAGATGTCTTGCCGCAGGCCAGTCGGATGAGCGAGCCGAAAGCACCCTCAAGGCACTCCGCCGCATATCTTGGGGTGACGCACGAGTCATCACGAACGTGGACTCCCCTTCCTAGCGGCTTTCTGTCATTCGACATCATTTCTGAAGCAGGTGCGGCGCCGCTGGACTCCAAGCTGCAACAAAGTTCGAGGGCGGGTTTGCGTACCGGCAGTTTCTTATTGACTTATTGTGTTCACTTGTTCAGCATCGTGTAAACCAGGGATGGTGTCCAAGTGGACAACTGGGCCCGTCGTTATGACGACGAGGTTGGGCACGTTGTGAGGAACACGGTGTGCAACGGTACAATGACTATGACGACAGATGGCTGGATCCTTTTGTCAGGCACGTGACAAGCTGGAGTTCCAGCACTGCAGCTACTTGCAAGTCATGGGATTCTTGTCTGGCAGGTCAGCCGCTCCGTACAGTTTTCGGCACATAGTCGGTAGGCCAAGCAAAACAGTGTGGAAGGGCTTCTCAAGCCGTCAAGGAATGTTCACGCTTTGGGTGGGCTGGTACGGCTTCAACGCTGGGCGGCTGGGTGGAATCTGTGTTTGATGCAGTCGACGTGTGAAGCTTCTCCTGTTTGGATCACAGCTTGCGAACTCAGGTCCGTGCTGGGGGCCAGCCATCATCACGAGCATGCAGTTGCTTGGCCGATCTGTGCTGCATTAGGGACCCAGAATTTGGGCTGTCTTGCAAGGCTGCACTAGTCTCCTGGAACACAACCCTAGCCGCAAGCGCTGCTGGGCTGGGTGCTTGCCTCTACCTCTACGGTTTCCACTTGATGCTTGGTTGAGAGTACCCAGCTCACGGCTCATATGGCCGGGAGGGGTATGCCGGAGAAAGTTGCGTGTTGAAGTAAGTTGGTTTTGCTGGACATTCTGAGGAACCTGGATGTAGGCGGGGACTCTGGCGACATGCAACATGCAGTTGGCAGCTATGTGGCGGGAGTTGTTTCTCAGGATCCTTGAAGCTGGGCTTGAGGCTGTATCGCACCGTGTAACTTCACAGGGTCTGACAGTGCTCAGGGACTTGATACTGAGTGATGCAAGCTTCGACAGCATCGCAGCAACGCGGAGATTTAGAGGAACGGCAGGGATACTCATGAGCCGAATGGACCCGGTTGAACATGGCAGCGTGCACCCGATCCCCACTCCGAACTCGTTCATTCGGAGCCACTGGAACTTGCAAACACCCAGCCTTCCCAGTATCACCAGTTACACGGGGTAGTGACAGAAGCTCGATAGGGCCGGCTGAACCCGAAGGCTCTAGGGCGTTTTTTTGCAACCACGGGGAGCGCGGGCACATGCAACGGATGATGCATTGTACTAATTGCACTATGGTTTCGTGTGAGCTGGCGTTGAAACATAGCAACTCTGCAGCTTTTCCTTCTAATGGCCTGCTTCCGACTTGTTTCTTTCCAGCTTTTCCTGGCCTGCAGGTTTTTTGTGCAACGGAGTTCCAAGCTCAGCTCCTTTCGGCTATGCCAGGTTTTTTGTGCGCTGTCCAGTGATGTGCAGGGGAAAGCACAGCCGCAGGTTTTGAGCGGCATGGTCGCGATCACTGCTCCTTGCGATGTGGCTTCGCCAGCTGCGAGCGCCGTAATTGGCTTGCTGAGCGGCTTGCTGGTGCCTTTTCCGAAGACAGACGGCCATCCTTCCAATTGGCCCAGTCTGCGCGGTAAAGAATCGCCTACGGGTTGGCTACGGGCTTGACCAGCACATAGCTTCGGCAGAAGCATTCGGCACGGCATGATTACGACATATCACGAGATAACAAATGCTCAAAAAGTGTCTTGCTGCTTGGTCTGATGTTGAATGAGGTGTATCCTGCATGCTCACGGGCTATGCGATGGGCAAAACTCGATGATCCTGTTGACGCTGTTTCCGTCCATGCTGGGTCCAATGCTGAGAGCTGCATGGCAGTTGTTTCCGACAAGTGGCATCCATGCCGCCAAGGTCGGGCCTTCTGGGCACCTTGGTGCAACAGTTGTTAGATTGATTGTTGTCAAGCTGGTCGTGTCGAGTCAACACGAGACCTGCGCGCAGGAGTCTTGGCGACTGCGTTCTGCACCCCCGACTGCGATGTTCTCCAATCAGTGCTCGAGCTCAACTGATTGGACTTCAAACATGAGAATCGATGCAGGGGCGCATTCAAAGGCAGGTTCCCCTTATGCACATTGCGCGTGCTTGGCTCACAGAAGTGCCATGTAGCAGGACCTGGTTCCCAAACCGCAGGTTCCAATTTACCCACCTTCCTTTTGACAGAATGAGCCATGGAGATATCGAGACAGCTGTCGGCCAAAGAGACGATTCTCCAGATGTCTCGGGTGAAGCCTCCCCGCCAGCTAGAACCTCCACCGATCGGAAGTTGGCATTGATGAACCCCTTCAGCAAGTTCACCTGCTGCCTCATCAGCGCAGGGTTGCTACTGCCGTTCAGCGTCTCTATTCCTGGCTTTGCCTCGTTTCGGAAGGAGATCATTGGAGCCTCCTGCCTGATGATCTTCCTGGGAACACTTGTTCGAATGCGGCTGCAGCGTTGCCGCTGGGAGGTCATGAAGGCCGAGGTTGTGCCGAACCTCGCAGGCAGATATTGAAGAAGCAGGCAAAATATCTCAAACAGAATCCCCGGTACAGTAATTCTAGCGATTGCAACCTGCACATCAGTAGCTCCCGAGGAAACGGGACATCCGACGACGTCTATGGGCGACCATCATGTATGTTCCTTGGCTGCATAGCGAAAGGGTCGTGCCGGGTGTGCGAGGAGTCGGCGTCGTCACGGCTGGCACAGGTTTTGCTTTTTTATCAATCTTGCGTTGACATTGTTGCATTCCCTGTGACTTGTGCTAGAGGACTCTCTGTCCGCGGCCGAGCACGAGTTCCATTGTATGCAAATTCAGTCACAAGATCCTCGCAAAGCGCCCACAAAGCAGATCTTGGACAAAGCGTCCCCAGATCGCAGAGAGCTTCCGCGGCACAATCAAGCATAGCCTAGCAGCTTCATTGCTATGTGCGGTACCTGAGGTCTGTGCTCGATCCAGCGCCGGCGAAGGGTATGAACGAGCAAAGCACTTGCCTCTGCTGCCTTGAAGATTTCGAGGCTAGGAGCTAACATGCGGTCATATGCAGTCTGCAAGTTCAGCCCTTTTTACCGAGAGCTTAAACCTGCTGCCAATAGTAGATTTATCTGACGAGCAGAGTGCCAGGGCGACCCCTTTGACTTGGCCAGCTATGTGTAGAACTCTTCTTCTTGTGTTCTTGATGCCAGGACTCCTCGGTAGTGGCTTTGCTGCCGTGCGGACACATCTTCCATGAGGCAGGTCCGCGAAACGGGTCTGCAGCAGAGACGTCTGTAGGGTAGAGCCCTCGCATCGCATACTATTACGGTGTCGTGCCTGACCGGACAAAGCTGTACTGGTACTGTCAGCCCAATGGCTGTGCAGGGAGATTTGGACAGAACTGGAGTTATGCCTTCTGTCTAGTCCTGATTGAGGACTGCATCATGGCTTGGACCATCGCGAAACGCCGAGCATCAAAGGGCTGTCCGGTGTGCAGGCAGAGCTTTTTGGTATTGTGAAATTCGACCGGCTCGCTAATTAAGGGCCAAACTCATCCGGCTACGCACTTGCGCGGTGCATCTGGGCCGCGCTGGCAGCCTAGTTGTATCAGCCCAGGGCGGAGCCTTGTGCGGGTTTGTGGCTTGTTAAACAAGTCCAGAAAGACTCGTCAACTGCCGAGCTGCCTGTTCCACGTGTCATTAAATTAGGCATGCCGATGTCGATTTTTCGAGCCGCAACAAAGATGCAAGAGCTTATGCCTGGAGAAGTTGTTTTCAAGCCCTCGAAAACTCGATGTCGCAGCGCTTCCCAGACCGGTGCCAAGATCTTCCGCTTCAGTTCCTGTCAGTCAGTTTAGAAGCCAAGTACGCCTTGAGTTAGACATGAAGAATGCTTCATCTTGCCCGCCCTGTCGAGTGACTTCAACTTTCTGCGCAGAGAATGGTGGAGTTGAGGGGCGTGCATTGCGAAAAGATCAGGAGCAGTGCAAGCGTGAAGGGGCTTGAGGCGAGGTCAACATCTCACAGCATCGGCTCGAATCGTCAAACGATGCTTTCGCCAAAGCGAGTCGTTTGTTTGCACGAAGCTTAGCGCTTTGACAGGGTGACGGCAAGAAAGTGCAAGAGGGTGTGTTTTGTCTTCAGGTTGTCCTAACGGATCGGAGTGCACAGCATTTGATGTCAGCCTTCGAGTGCAGCAGACACCTCCGGTACATTCCTCATGTACATAACCCGAGTAGTTTCTGCGTCGTGCTGGGCCACCTGTGCGCAGCTATGGGATTGCAGGGCGCTGTAAAGGACAAGTCACGTCTGTCACCAAGCTGTGATGGCGGACACTTCGCCCTTGCGGGAGCGAGAGAGAGTCAGAGAGAGGGAGAGAGAGAGACTGAGTAAGGGCTTGAAATCCAAGCTCCAAAGGCCTGCTACGTGGAGGAAAAGCATGGCTTGTTGCTAACGCATGCTTGCTTGAGAAGCTGCTCTTAGAAGTGGGACATGGAGAGACACTGGACACCTCGCTTCAACGACGGTAGGCCGGAAGGATCTAACAGTGAGATATGCGTGGAAGCACAGCACCCCTGGCTTGCAGACGCAGACATTTTGTTCTGGGATCGTCCCGCCATGCAGTTGCGAGGTCGATGGATTTTCAGCTGGGGCTTAGGCTTCGCCGCTTGTGGCTTGCTTGGTGCCTTGATGCCAGCTGTCCGGCAGCACTTTCTTCGCTTACTGAAGCGCGGCAAACGGCGACGGAGATGCGACCATCAGGAGGTGTTGGATAAGGTTCCGTCAATACGCTTGCGCTATGGACTAAGCACGCGGGGGTTTCTTCCCCTTTGTTGCATGAAGCGGCTTCCCAGTGAATTTCAAGACTGGGAGAGACTGGCCGATGAATTGCCGGATCTGAATCGCGCCGGCCGGTTGAAGGAAGCAGTGGATGGATTGCCTCGCATGGACCTTAAATGCTTCGAGGGCGCAGGAAAAGAGCTGCTGCAGCGGGCATTTCTGCTTTTGGGTGCACTCGCCCATTCCTATTCGCATGGCCATGAAGTTCCCTGGCATCTAGTCGGCGACCGGGGGCGGGGAACCCTCACCAACACCGCACTGAAATTGTCGAGTTGCTTGCCAGCTCAATTAGCTGAGCCATGGCTGGAGGTCTCTTCTCGGTTGGGTGTGCCCCCTGTGCTGACGGCTGCCGCCACAGACCTTTGGAATTGGCGCTTGCGTGACTCTGCTGGCCCTTTCACGCCCGAGAACCTTGAGCAGGGCATTTCCTTGACAGGCACCGACACTGAAAGAGCTTTCCATATGGTGCCATGTGCCATGCAGGCTGCGGCAGCTGAGGTGGTGCCGAAGATTTTCTTGGCTGACATCTTGGTGAGGGGTGCGTGTGATGAACAGCTCGCAAGCCTTCTGCGCGAGGTGGCGGATGTCCTCCTTGAGTTTCAGCACTTCTTCCGGCAGATCGCAGGTACTGTGGACAAAGACCTGTTCTATGACGTTTATCGGCCATTGCTCAACGGATTTCATCCCAGCGGCCTGAAGATGGAAGTGTCAGAGGCAGCAGCAGACCTGCTGACGAGGCCCGTGGCCTGTGTAACGAAAGCCATCGAAGGTGGAGGATTGCTGAATAAGAGCAAGGGCCCCAGCGCTGGACAAAGCACCATTATCCTTTTGCTGGACAGCTTCTTGGCAATCTCCCACTCCGAATCAGGCGTTGCTTTCCAGGAAGAGATGCTGTCCTACATGCCTGCAGAGCACCGGCAGATGGTGTTGGACTTTCGGCAGCGCTGGCGTGACTTGGACTCCCTCCCAATGGTCATAGGACAGCGGAAGGTGCATGATCTTGAAGAGGCCTATGGCGAGTGTGTGAAGGCCTTCAGCGGCCTTCGTCGCCTGCACCTTTCCACCGTCACAAGCTACTTGTTGCGAACAAACACCGGAACGGGTGCAACGACTTGGCGATCGCTCTTGCAGAGCATGCTTACTGCAACCTCTCTCCGGGTATCCGGGACTTGAGATCGAAGTGGTTGCAGCGCATCTGGCTGATTCTTCGCCCATGAAAAAGAAGGTGTAGTCGAGCTGAGGTAGGGAGGGGAGGGGGAACAGAGAGGAACTGGACCCTCACACGCACAGAGAGACGAGACAGCCGTGGCTTGCGGGCTCCGTTCCCTGATTGCCCGCAAAACAAGCAAAGATACCTGCCTGCCTGAACTGCTGGGACCATCCAGACACTACTCACCGTTGCAGAGAGCGGCAGAGAGAGAAGGCGCGCGGGCAGGGGGCAACCCCTGTCCCTACCCTGGAAAGAAAGAGAAGGAAAGAAACAGAGATTGTCTGCAACATGAGCATGCGATTTTAGGCCCTTGCCCCACTGTTTGACGCACAAAGAATTGAGAGAAGAGCGAGCGAGAGCCGTGTTCAAGGACTTTTTCGTATTCGTGTCATAAGCTCAACTAGGGCAGGGTGGCTGCACGGTTGGCGGGCTGTGGAAGAGCAGCATGAGGGTGGAGAACGTTTCCTGTGACTGTGCCGGTAAGTTCAACACCTGCAACCAACACATGTGTGCACAGATATCCCTTTAGCTCAATCTCACTTTTGCAGATGATCGGCGCCCCGACTCAATCCTGCAAAGACTCATGACAACTCCTTCATGTCTTGATCAGAAGCAGAATGAACCGATGCAGCGACCAGCAGGCTAATGTATGGGAGTCCGGCTGGCCAGTTTTAGAGTCTCGCAAAGCCTTCAGTGATGAGAGGGTCTGCCCAAAACTGTCATGCCCAAGACAAAGAGGCTGTTGAAACAGAGGGGACGGGGCATGGGATGACGAATCCCAGGTCCGCTACCCGACAGAAGCTGAAGATGCCTGTCTGCATCATGTTAGAAGCTCCAGTGGTCCAGAGCCTTGAGCTTTCGAGAGTTCCGAAGGTGTGAAGCCGATCAGAAGCTGCCCCATGTGTCCGAGGTCCGGTTCTGCTCTGCTACACATACGGTCGCGCTCGAATGCTTCCGGGTTTTGGACCTTCTGCTGGATGTAGGAACCTCGCAGTTGCCTGTGCGGATTCTGCTGTGACCAGCTGCCAGGTCATGGAGCAGCTTCAGATTCAGCTTTGGGGTGTCTCGGCAGTGTAAGGAGAGGGCTTTTGGGGCCACGCAGCCGAGACAGACTGTTGGCTGCAGGTGCTTTTCTCATCATCCTCTGGTCCTTCTCGAGCCTTGGTATCCATGGCCTCCATGTTAGTGTCACACGTGCTTGTCACTACGAGTAGTGTTGTCTTGCAGCGTGCTGTGAGAGCTCTTCGGGGAATTTTTGGCTCGAGGATTTAGGCAAAGAGGGCTGTGCTGCTACTCTGCTTGGTGAGTGAGCCAGCATGATAGGGTTGCTGCTGGGAGAGGCGTCCATGGTGCAAGACAGCTGCTTTTGCCTTGCCCTTTGCTGTGGCATTCTTATCATGAAGCTGTTGTCGGGCTCTCTGGTGCTGTCTGCATCTTACTTGTACGTGTTCAGGGGCACCCCGCGAGCCACACGGCAGGTGGTCGAAAGCAGCGAGTGTCCCTGGGTCAAGTTTGCCCAGCGGCGTCATTTCATCAATTGCCAGCGCGAACAGCAGGAGTGGATGGAAGTTCAAAGGTACTTTGACAGCTTGCCCGCAGGCCAGTAGCCGCAAAGCCAGACACACGCGCTTTATAACTTGAAAAGGGCATGCGAATCTGCGGCGAATCTACGGTGTGTTTAGGCTTCTCGAGAGTCACAGACTCTTTGCTTTGCACGGCATTTTTTCTTTTCAAGCCGCGTCTGAGAATGCTGCCGGGTTTCAAGTTGAAAATCCTCCGAGCAGCAGTCCAGTGGCTTCACTTTAAGAATGACAAATTCGTGTTCGTCGGCTGATGTTCCTAGATGTAGTGTGACAATGTGGACGGTTTCGTAGACAAGGGTCAGCTTGCAGCACCATGCAACGAATATCCGCCGCGGCTCTTCCGAGCCTGTCGAGGAAGCAATCGCAGACAGCCAGTTCGGCGACATCATTGTTGAAATTGCTGACAGGTGGCATTGACCGGACTTTACTCGGTCTCGGGTCAGTCGAGAGGGTGGGCAACCAGGCAAGTCTGCAATGCTGGCATGTTCTGGTTCCCGTCTTCAGCCCACCCGGCTGTTACGGCGTGGTTGCTTCAATTTCAAGCTTCCTGGCATACAGCAAAGCTGCTGCCTTCGGAACGCAATGCACGCATTATGCAGCGACAGGGACTGCACTGAAACACCCTTGTCTCCAAGGGGGTCAGGACTTGCTCCATCAGGCCTGGCAGGCAGTTGAGAAGGTGTTGGTCTGTATTTGGGGGAATCCTAAAGGTTGTGCGAGGCAACTGTAGTTACTGTAGTTGCTAAACATGCTCAACGTCTTCGGCGAGCAGGGCTGTCTCTGAATTTGAATCGCATGCTAGCCGCGAACTGCTCCGTGATGCAGCGAAAGACGCTGACGGCGTCTTCGGTGCCATCCTTCCATCCCGGGGTGCTACCAGTTCCGCATGGTGTGGTTTCTCACTCATACCTCCACGGTACGGCTTGCAGACTTTGTGCCAAAGGGGTGTGTGGAAGGCCTTGCAGCACGATGAGAAGACCGGTTGGAGCGATTTATGAATGAGATGCAGAGGAACGACCGAGTTCAAAAGAGTCTCAAGTGCTGTTCTACTGATTCTAGTGCAGCAGTCGATCGGCCGAAAGTTCTCAAACGATTGGCTCTCCATCTGAGGGTGTCGCTGGCCTTCTTCTCATTCTGCGCCTTCTCAGAGCGCCTGAGAGGGCGCGAGTTGAGTCACGTGCGAGAGCTCCAGGACTTGCGAACTGGTGTGAGCTCGTAATAAATGCTCGTCCGGCAGCAGTTTTGGCAGCCTTTTGCGGAATTGTGACAGGAGTTGCTGGCCCCGATCTCCATGGCTACTCCTCAGGCCGTAGCGATTCAGAGTTTGTTGAATGGTTTCCGAGGGTTTCTTCGTAGCCGGATCCTACCGAGTGATGGCCCGGGCGAGGGTGCTTTGCCTCAGTCAGCCTCGTGATGTAGGGACAATCAAGCGAGACCGATCACGTGGGCAGACCCACTTCTAGTGGCATCTTCTCTTGTAGTCGACGGCCGTGGGGAAGTGTGCAGCTGACGTGCGTAAGTTGCGTCATTGCGGATCGGCACAGCTGGAAAAGGTGTGGTGTGGAGCTTTATTGGATACTTTCTGCTTAAGGTCGTATGTTCGCTTGTCTTCCGAAAGCCGTGCTACAGCCATACTTTGGTGGGGATTTGCAAAGTGTACACTTATCACTGCCATCTCAACATGGTAACCTAACTGAGCGACTTAGCCAAGTCCTGTCAGGGAAATGCAAAGTACGATGCCGGTGCAACACAACATAAAAGCATGCATGAATGATGCTGATGCGGACTGTGCCCACTAGCCGGAGTCACTTTCTCCAGCTGCACCACGCCGGTACCTGTGCACTGCTAGCACGCAAGCGCTTTCTTTGTCTGGAGCCTTTCGTGGTCCACTCCAGCCCCCTGCGCATTGAATTCGTCAATGCAAAACTGTACTGCAGACTGAACTCGCCGGCGCAAGTGTCACGACATCCACCGACCCCCCCTTGCTTGGAGTCGGGTGTACACACACAAACTAGCAGTGGCAGGCCGTGGATGAGACACTCATTGGTCTTCGACTAGCTGCACTGGCTGAGAAATCATCCCTGGACTCTTGGCGAAACGTGGATGTAGATGTGGCTGGCGTGCGTTGAGTGGCAGTTGATCATGTTTCGGGATTTAACTGTGATCAGGTCAGATGTACGCTAAAGCGGCGAGGATGGACCCATGGCCTGCCCAAGGAGAGGGTTACATGTGACACGGTGGCGATATGACGCATTGTCGCATCGTCTTCTTTCGGCCCGGGCCGGAGCGATGCGCGGCTTCGCGGGCTTGCCGATTTCCGAAGAGAGCTTACTCAGACCTTAGGGTGCCATGGCACACCATGGCTTGGATGTCTCTGGCAGCGGCCAGCATGACACTTGCTGGTCGCTGCCAGGCCGAGCGAGTGAGATTCGGCTTGCATCGTGAGATTGCCGTTCTTCGTAGCCCATGTTTGGCTTAGAGACAATCAGGGGGATGTCCGCTGGGCCTTGTGATGGCGGATGGGCACGATGTGCCACAACCAGTGGCTTACAGGCCGTATTCCGCCGAGCATCTCAGCTGTCTTCAATCGTCGTTTAGACGTTTAGACTTTGGTCATCGTTTGCGGAGCATAGTGGCAACACGGCTGCAGGACAAGGACCTGTTTCAAAAACCACAGCCAAGGGGAAGTGCCGCTCCGGAGCCGAAGCGTCCGAAGACATTCCGGCCGCAGAAGCCCACCACACAGAGAGCTGCACCGGCCCGAGACGGCCCAACAGGCCCGCGGCCGCCACGAGCCTCCTGCATGCGTGAATGCGTGAGGTGGAAAAGTCGAGCCTTGCCTCCGTGGGCCCGGAGGCTGCATCCTGCAATTTTTGAGCGTGGTCACGTCGAACTCGTCATTGCAGGAGTCTGTTGGCCACATGCTCCATGCAGCTGCGCGGCGCCAGAGTGTTGAGTTTCAATCAGGCTGGACGTGATTCAACCTGACCGTTTGATTCCTGCTCTTGCCACAGTTGCGGCGGTGCCTTGACTTGACGATGAGGCCGTGCGCGAGATGTCCCACAGACAGCGGAACCTTCGAACGGCAAGAAGCATCTCGTGTGGTTCGTGACTCCTGACCATCCTGACCATGCCTATAGACATTCGTGTTTAAGCGCATTGGGATGTCATAGCTTCCGTATATTGATTTACTTGACGCCGGTGCATGCTTGTGTTCGGGGACTGGCACCCACAAGTAATGATTCGCCTGACAGAGCTAGAGCACACTTTGGAGCTTTGGGCACCCGGTGGCTAGCCAGCAACTCCACCTCGCCAGCTTGTCCGAGAGCGATAATCGAAAATTTGAGCAAAGTCCGGGGCCACTCCAGTATTCTCGCGGCTATGGGGGAAGCATCGGGCTGGGGTAGATCCCCGTTCATCTGCGAAGTGGGGGCGGCAAATGCGGCCACATGACCCCCCTTTCGGAACAGAAGCACAGGAGCGCTTCCACGGCATGTCCCTGAAGAGCTTCGGGCTGCTGGCTGCTCAGGGAGAAGAAATCAGGGAGTTGCACACAGAAGGTGCACAGTTTGACAGCCTGAACCGACTCATGGGCTGAGGACCTCGAGCCTGGGCGGGGCAGCGCCGCGGAAGAGCAAGGAGCGCAAGGATGGCAAGCCCAGCACTTACAATGACTTACAACTTACAGCCTCACCATCACAGGCCTACACACTGCCTGCTTTCTGGAAATCTGGTTTGTTTGTTTTTTGCTTTGCAGGTCGGTTTCTGTGTGGGCTCAGGTTTTCAGCTAAGAACCCCAGATCCGAAGGTCCATGGACCTCATGGACCTCGCCTTCTCCGGAGGCATGCAGATGTGGAATGGCGAGCCGATGCCCAGTTACGCACCGCACCTTGGCCTCCCATTCTCAGTAGATTTCTTAGGATGCTGCTGGTATGTGCGAGAGAGAGTCACTGAGGGAGAGGGTGGGAGGGCGGGAGGGTGTGAGTGTGAGTGCGTGCGCGAGTGGCCAGCATCAGGATATCTCTTCCTTATTTCGATGTGGAGGAGGAAGGCTCTGGCGCAATTGTCCAGGACTCCACCGAAAACAAAACGAGGCCGCACTCATGTGCCATGAAACCGTGTTCAAATCATTATGCTAGACGCCTATTTTGGTCTGAGTTGGTTTTGTCTATCATCACGAAGCCGAGTGCGCAATGTGGCAGCATGCTGAAGCCGCTGACGAGGCCGAAGCTCGTCCACATAGACGAGGCAAACTCGAAGGCTGCAGAGAAGCTGCTCGGGCCCAACCAGGAACGGCTGGCCTTTCGCTTTTTGTTTTGTGGTTCGCATGCTAAGGCCAAGATGGCTAAGAGTTGCAAGCTTCCGGAACGCACAAAATACCGACGCACCGCTCGGGCCAAACGCGGTGCAGGGCCGCTGCAGAGAAGTGTGCTGATTTATCAATGCGGTTTGGCCACCCGACTTGATGGTTGGAGGCGACTTGGCGCTCCTACGCTTTTCAGACTATAGGGCCACGAAAACGCTGGCATGCACGGCTTATTATGCATGTAGGCCCAAACCGGGGCTTTCGGAGAAACAAACAGTTTGGCATTGCTAAGCTTTGAGCTCGGAAGCAGCTCGACGGTTTCGACTTCGTCTGAGCGCGGGTCCCCGTCGGTGATTTCGGCGGACTAGGGCTTGCAAAATCGCGGCAGAGAGAGCAGCTGCCAGCCAGCGGAAGTACATGGCTGCACTTGCGCGTGCATGAAACGGAGTCAGACCCAACAGGGGCTGCGGATGCATCGGAAGCTGAGGAAGACTTGGAGAGTCCCGATCATGCCTCTCCACCCCTCCCAACCCCCTTCTGAAAAAACCTCTGGGAGGCCTCCGAAATCTTGAAAAAGTGGAGAAGAGCATAGGACCCTACGCGCGCCACGGTCCAACTTGATCCCGTCCAACAATTGCAGCTCTGTCAGACAAACAGAGCGCTTAGCGGAGGTCTCGAAAAGCGAGCAAATCTCTCAACAAATGTTGCATGTGTGATCCAGCGGCTCCAAGGACCTCATGACCAGCCCGGTTGATTTGGCATGCGTGGCTCCAATTCTCGGTAGTGCTAGTGGGACGGCTGTTCTCGGTAGTTCTTCTGACAGTGGGATGGTCAGTGTACCGCATCCTGCTGCGACAAGGTCTGACGCTTCGAGCACCTGTGAGAGAGAGAGAGAGAGAGATGTTGCATGTGTGGCTCCAGCCTTCAGCTATCATTTTTAACCACACAGAACATGTTCTGCACTTTTGAAACCGGTTAAGATTGTTAAGAGCTGAGATACTCATGCACAGTTTGATTTGGGATGATATGACATGCCGAAAATTATCCGGCTTTGTGAAAGGTGTATTGGCTTCCGAGCAGAGCCCAGCAGAGCAAAGGCCAGCTTTCGGTTCATGTTGTCCCGTGTGTTGTCAGGAGCTGCTGGAGGACAGCTACTTTCTGCTGCAGATGCCGTGTGTCCTGCCGGAGATGAGCAAGCCAGATTCGTGGCCAAAGAACAACCAAGCTGGAATCTTAGGGCACGGTAGGCAGTTTACTGTCCGAGGAAGACGAGCTCTTCCGAGAGGCAGAGGATGCGGCATCAGCTGGATCAGGCAGCTTGCAATACGGGGTAGACAGTCGGGATGTATGATGAGCCAGGTGCAACCATCACCCGCCTGCCAGATGGCAAGCTGGGAAAGCTTCGTGTTTACAAGTCTGCAGCTTACAGGAGGTAAAGCTTAAGAAGGGCAGTGACTCAAAACGAGGGCTCTTGCAGGCATGTGGGCGCCACAGGTCTGGTAAGGTGAAGATGGAGATCGGCGGCATCTCCTTCTGCGTCGACCAGGGCTGTGAAACCTTCTTCCAGCAGGACATGAAGCGGAAGCGAGCCTTCCAGCAGATGTGGACAGATCGTTCGTGGGAGGACCTGGCACTTGTCTGCCCTTTGGCCGGCGAGTTCTTCAACCTGGGGCGTCTAAACAGCAGGTGTGGGCAAATCTGAGCCCTCTTCAGTCTTGGAGAGGCCCGCAGTAAAGCTCGAGCTTTACAGGATGGTGCTGACACCAGATCTCGATGCAATCCTGGCGCAAGTTCCCGAGATGCTTAGCCAATCAGAGGACACAGAGTTTCGAAGCGAAGGGACGAAGCTACGGCACAAGAGAGGCCGGGAATGTTTTTGAGTCTGGAGGAGACGCCGGTCCTAGAGCAGGCGCCGAAAAAGGACGGGTCCGCAGAGTCTCGCGGTCTCCTTTCCGCCTTTCCGCGGCGGCCCTCTGAGAGTTTGCCGGAGGAGCCTGCAGCCGTACCTGCTCAGCTGCCGGTGTTTCCTGCTGCACGCGGGAAGGCCCTGCTCTGAGATTCGCGTTCGCGTTCTCTGAGTTATGCATGTGCTCACCTTGTCTTAGGGGCGTGGAAAAGGTTCTCGCGCCGCTTGGAGCCAAAAGACGGGCATCTTTTCGTGCTGGAGCCAGCCCTGATTTTGCAGCTCGCCCAGGGAAAGAGATGACTTCGGGGTCCACCCCCGGCTTCTCCAAAGATTCTGCGAGATGCAGCAGTGAGAAGCCTCCGAGCCAAAAAGACTTTGCCTGCAATGTCTGCAAATTCAACGAAATCGGTGGTGCCACATGCATGGCTACGTTCTGGCTGTGCGCCGGGCAAGTCCAACGGAGCCCCGAAACAAGCAATCGGCTCAGCACTTTCCATGCACCGACGCGACGGCATGCGACGGCTTTTTTGCTGGGCAGGGGATACGAGGGATGGCTAAAGAAAATAAGTCGAAGCACAAGAAGAACAAGACTGCAAAAGCGCAGCTGCAGCAGGCACCGCACGCAAAAGTAATCGCTCGCCCAGTCGCACAGCAAAGCTGACAGGGACCGGCTTGACCACGACGATGCTACTGTGCACCGTGCACACCAACCTGCCAGTGACTGCAGCTTCAGCCCAGCACCCGTACTGCACTCCCCAAAACACAATTTTTCTTTTGTTCGCCGTTCCTTGCAGGACGTGGCAGAGCTGCAGGCAGACCTCGCGGTGCTCACCACGGGCTGGCGACAAAGCGCACTGGAAGTCGATGCGAGTTGCGTGATGGAGGTCTGGAACCTTTATAATAGAAGCCTGCTCTGGTGTCGAAATCTGGAGCCACAAATCGCAGAAGGTCAAGAGCCAAGCGATGCGTCCTACGCCTAAGTCGATCAGCGCTCTCCGTGTGGGTCTTGGCCAGGCAGCGGTGACGGCAGCGTTTGCCTGCCGCCCATTGCGAGCGCTGGCCCAGCTGTCCGTCCCTGAAAAGCTTTTCTGCAACTTGCAAGAAGAAGCCCGTCCCTGCCGGCCCTGCCTAGGCGACTGCGCATTCACCCTGCTGCAGAGCTGTCGGGGCTTGGAGCCCTCAAGGCTGTCGGAACAAAACTCCAGGACAGGAGGTACATCTCCTCAGGTGTTGCAGCCAGACTAAGGACTACAGCTTTACATACAATTCCCCGTGCAGGAGAGGAGCCAAGGCCTATCTATTGCAAGCACGGACAGCAAGCCTAGAGGCCTAGAAGTCGTGGCAGACAGTCTTTAAAATTTATTTCCCAGCAGGTGACCCAAACATTCGTTCCGTGTCGTGACTTTCCTGGACATCTTCCTGGTTTGGTCTTGAGTCGAAGCCAGCTATGGTTTGATAGTTGTTCATCCCTCCTCTCTTCCTTTGCTCCGTTCCATGGAAACTCTACCTCCCAGATTGCCCCGGCCCCGGTGCCGTAGCAGGTTCGAAGGCCTTGCAGGTTTTGCTATACTACTGTAGCATGCATCGAATGGATGTCAGTGCGCAGCGAAGCAGTCCGCCGCCATGCATGGCTGTGTGAAGGCAGAAGGTGGGAAGCTCTACCATGCTTTGAGCGCTGCTGCGAACCAGATTGCGGAGCTCCGTGCAGAGCACCGGCACGCAGCCGAGTTTTTTCGGTGTCTGGCGGTCAGATCTCTGATTCGCGCTCAATTCTTTCCGTTCGTGCCAAGGTACGTTCATTCTCCTCTGAAGCGGAATGTGAAGGAGCTGTCGCTCCTGGCAGCCCGGCTTGTGTAAAAGTCAGAATTACAAGCATTCTGCTGACAGTTCGATGGGTCGAGGGGATGTAGATGGATTTTGCTTCTCAAGTGATTTTCCAGTTTTCCAGGTGAAGAGCCAGGATATCCTTTTGCGCGCCCTCACAAGGAAGCATTCGCCGAGGCTGACAGCCTTGCCACGTCATGCTGTAGATTTGCAGGCGGTTCGGTCTCTGGCTTTTCACCAACGCCGAAACCGTGGGAAGGTTTCAGCTTTCAATGGCCCGTGCATGCTTGTCAGGGCTTTGTCTGCAGCCATGCTGTCATGCTTTCGAGTGTGCAGTGGCACATGGCAGGCGGACGAGCACACTGCAATCTGTGGCAGAGGAGGATGAGAGATCGCAGCGAAGCTCCCAAAGCTCCAGCAACAACACGCCGACCAAGCCCTTTTGCAGAAATCCTTTGATGAAGGAATCGTTAAAGTTGAAAGGGTTTTGGGCGTTCGGCTTGTAACTTAATCGGTTTAGGAAATGCTTCGTTGTACGCCGTACGCCTCGGCCTCAGTACGGGTTTTAAATCAGGGACTGCTTGGATATGACGCGATCATACTTGATTCGACGCTGCCGTTTGAAATGACGATGTTCGTCATGGTTGGGGCTATTGCATCAAGGTTGCGGAACACGATGTGGCACATAGGGTGCAGAAGTCAGAGAGTGGCAGGGCAGCGGGGAGGGACCGGCTGCTAGGATGCAGAATGGGGCGTAATCGGCGTTCTGGGCCTTCGGAGTTGAGAGGTTGATCCTAAACCGCCCAAGCCCAAGCCCTACACTCTAAGAGACCCTTGCTGCAAGGCCTCACGGAACTTCGATTCCGGGCAGTATCAGGTTTTCCAACAATGTGAGCTGCAACTAAACTTCACTAAACCACAACCTGCAGCCGCATGTCTGCCAAGCTTCGGCTGTGAGTGCAAGATTCCCTTCTTGGCAGTGCAGGCCGCGGCCGCGTCCCGAGCCGACGACGCCGCCCGCCGAGGAAGCAGAAGCTGCAGCTGGTGGCCCAGGAGCTGAGGAATGTTTTTCTTTCTAGCGAAGCTGTACTGCTTTCTAACTGCTCAGGCGACACCCCAGTCTCCAGCGCAGTCCAGCGCCGAACCGTTGCTTGGAAGTATGCACGGGCCATCTCAGTGGAGAGTGGAGGGCGGGTTTCGTCGCACCGAAGGTTTCCACTCCACGTGGTTAGCATTCGAAGCGAGCCTTGCATGCACCGGGGAAAGTGCAATGCCTGTGTGTGGTTCCTTCAGCCTAAGCCCTCGGCAATCCGCCGGCCCCAGCAACGCGTACCTCACAGTTGGTCCCGTTGTGAAGCCTAAGCTTCCTAAGCTTCACGCGCGCTAGTTGCTGGAAGTCCAGCGTGCTGGCCCTGAGCTCGTGACCGAAAGCAGTCTGAGGGGCCTCGCGGTTCTAGGAAAGTGGAGGGCTCTTAGTGTAGAGGTCTTCGGAAACAAAGACCCACAGCAAACGATCCCCTGTGGCCACTGAGAACAGCACTGTCTCGGACGCCAGCCTCGGAGCTCTGAGTGCGCCGCAATCCGCGACAGGTGCCTGGATGCAAGGAGAGGATGGAGAGGGGAACCGGGTTGGTCCTTTTCTTGGGGGGGTTTGCCAAGCTGGCTGTGTCTCATCCGGCTCCAGGCTCGACGCCCAGGCCCACCATCTTGGGTCGGGAATCCCGAGATTCCAGGACGCTAGGGCCGCTAGGGAAGTCGACAGTCTCTTCGCATGGTCCATAGCATGTACAGGACCCGGTCCAGTGATGCCAGCGATGTCGCCGACCAGCTTACCACTCTGCTGCTCGAAGAACTGGTAGACTTTCCTGGCAAGTCCTTTCCTTATTTCTTCCTCTGTGTTCGCATCACAAGGCTCACAGCAACCCTTGACGTGAATCAGAAGAGCACACACAGTCATCTGCTGTCATATGCAGTCATGCAGTGTGAGCACGTTGCCTCGACTGCAGCGTATGAGGGTCTGCCGACCGGCCCTTTGCTGGCTTGGGCCGCAGGGCATAAACGATAATTGGACTCAGTCGATTCCAAAGCGAACTGTGAACTGGGATTCTCAGCGAATGGGCCACCGCCGCCGCAGTAGTGCCTGGCCATTCCTGGCTGCATCGGCCGCCAGACCGGATTTAGGGCTAACTGGTGCGCTTTGGCCCGGTTTGTGAGATTAAAGGTTTTGGAGGGGGAGCAAGCAGCTAGTTGTTGCACATGACACATGGCTCCGCATCGACTGCAGGTCCGCATGAGCCCTAGTGCTGGAAGATAAGCTCCAAGCGAAGCAGCCTTATAATCTCGCACAATCCCTATTGGTGCTTGTAATGTAGCTTGAGAGTCAACTCGATGTCCTTGCACAGTTTCCAGACTATTGAGGTCGGCGGTTTCCGTCGTATGCTTGACATCGTCTGGAGACAACCGACAGCCCTACCCAACTTAACCCAGTCGCCACTGCGGCCTCCAAGCATTAGGTGCTTTTTGGATCGACTTGCTCACCCCGAACAGCGGTGCCTGCTGGTGGTGGCTTCGTGGATGCAAGGACGTGCCGCGGCATGGGTTACGTGTCCTCAAAGGCACGGGGAGGGACATTATGAAGGGCAGGGTTTGCATGTTATACTCTGTGCCCTGTGCTTAGGCACGATTGCAATCGGCATGGATGCGGCGAGGTGCGCTTCAAGCTCGAACGACAGAGGGGGCTTTACCGGAGGCGCGCAGGACCTATGCATTCCGTTTGCCATGGGGGATAACTTGACGGGTCCCACACGTCCTTTGCATGTGAGCTGCGTGCCGTCCTGCTTGTACCCTGGCTACATGTTTTCCCGCTATCCTTCGCATCTCAGTTATCCATGGGAAGCCTGGGACCCGCTGCCGGGCAGCTGCGCGCGGTCCCCTCGCGTGGGGCGAGCAACTCGCTGCTATAAATTTTGATAGTTTCTTTTGCTGGAGAGAGGCACATCAGAGGATTCGAAGGCTGTCGAAGATGGACGGCTTGTGCATCGCTCAGGTCGTGGTGTCGGGCTGGCCTAGCAGATTGCCAAGTCAACTGCCGGGTAAAGCTTTGGAGGAAGTTCTTAAATGCTTAGCAGAAGCGGCGCAGCATGGCGAGCTACGAGAAGATGGCGCCGTTCCAGGTTCCCAGTGCCCTGTGCTGAGCAGATTTTAGACTCATGCATGTGACGTTTTAGGTCAAGTTTCACTTGGTGTGCCGTGTCAGGCCTGTACACATCAGTGTTGGTGCAGGTGCTCTCCCTGTCCAGCCACGCCTTCGAGAGTTTCAGGACTGTCCTTGGTCTTAGCTGCCTTGGAGTTTGCCAAGAGTGAAGATAGTTGCTGTGCACCTTGGTTGCTGTAGGAGGCAGCGGCTGGCTCATCCAAGCTCTCCAAGTTCCTTCTCTCTGAGGCCTTGCGTCGGGCTGAGAAGCTGCACAGATCTGTGCGAGCATTCACCACAGGGTGATCCAAGGCCCATGCCTTTAGAAACCACGAAACAGTGCAGTTTCCTGTGCTTCCTCCGCCAGATCAACTGCTGTAACCATGATCCAAGCATCCCAGCCCGGGTCAATCAAGACACAGTGAGCAAGCTGAACGGGAACCCAAAACCTCGAAATACCACAACGCCTCTTTTTTGTAACCGACACCAAGGGAGGGAGGCAGGGGGGGAGGGAGGGAGGGATTTGAGCACAGGGATGTCATGTGACATGGAATAAGTTCTTTCGCCACGTTGATGGTGCATCATGATTCTACAAGCCACAGCACGTTTTTGAGCTCATCGGTTGCGTGATGTAAAAGCTGAGACACCAAGCCATGTTCATCGCATGCCTTCTTTGCCTTCATGTTGGGAAATGCCTGTCGAAGCCCTTTTATGCTGCAGGGAGGTTCCTCTAACGCCAACACAGCATGCGGTCCAGAGAGCGATCGTGCCAACATGTTTGCAAAATCATCATGGCGGTCACCTCTAGTGACGTGCTTGGGAACCCTTGAGCCCTGAGCCAAGACTTACACCCCGATACAATTCTTTATTGCTGGTGTCAAGCATGTCGCGGGTATCAGGGAGCCTTTGATGTTAAGCCGTCCACGCGAATGTAATGCTCGAAGACACTGACCACAATGGCGACGTGCACATTTTGGCCAAGGCGTCGAAAGCAATGCTCGTGTCGGATTTCAGGCCTATTGCCAACCCACCGTTGTGTACAAGACATTGCGAGACCTTCATGTATTTGTTATTGTTATTGTCCAGGGTGGAATAGAAGCTGGAGTTGGCGCAGCCTGAAGAGCAGCGCAGGTTTAGGTCCAACCACCGTCTGGAAGAGTACAGCAAACAATATGTTGGATAAGACGCGCGCGCCTCTTTGCCTTGTTACTTGTAGCTCGGATTTGTCAAAGGTTTCGACCCCGTGGACTTGCAAGCATGGTGGCGAGCTTTAGGGAACCGTGGCCTTTCCCTTCATCGGGCCTGGATCTTGCAATGTTTGTATTACGATCAAAACCGGGAGATTTGCCAGCATGCGGAACGGAGCAAAGCGGCAACTGCGTCTTCTATGGTTGAGGAGTCTGTGGGCCAGATTCGAAACGAAAGCCGCACCTCTTGTGGTACGAGTAGCGCCTGCGTCTGTGGAGTCAGCGGCCGGTGGCACCGAAAGCTTTACAGACTGCCGAAGCCGCAGGTGGTTACGCCGCTTCGACCCATCAGAGCTCCAATGCCGGAGCTTCCCGAGCTTCCTTCTACGGAGTCCTACGGAGGCCTGGAGAGCGTCTTCGGGAACACAGCCGACTGCTGCGGCGACTTCAGCTCCACCGCTGCCGGCATCGACAGCATCAGGTCCACCAGCCGGCATTAGGTCATTAGGGCCTTTGGCCCAAACAGATCAGATTCCAGGGACGCAGCACATGCCTTTCTCGGCATATCACAGCTGGGAGCCGCACCCACCACCAGAACTGCACATATGTTCCAGAGCGAACATCCCGAGGTGGTTTTGCTTGCGTCGTCGTGACAACACAGTTTCACATATGCAACACCAACCCCAAAAGTCTCGCACGCAAATCAAGCGGTTTCGACAAACACTGGCCTTTTCATCGGCAAATCTACGGCCCGTCAGGGCATCGGGCCCAACATGAAAATTCCATTTTTCATCCGGTCATGGGCTAAGTCATAGTGCAGCTACGGCTTGCACGCTGTTGTAGATCCATGCATCGGGAACCAGAGGCCGGATGCTAGTAGATGCTAGCAGCAGTCATGCGCCACCCCAAGTTCCTTTCTGCAGGATTTGGGGAGTTCGGCACTTGCGAGATTGTCGTGGGGCGCCCATGTGTGCAAAGAATCGAAGGATGTTTGCGTGTGGTGGCACGGTGTCTTCTGAAGTCTCTGGCCCTTCGTGACTGTGTGTGGTGTCAACATGAGCTTTGCTTGAAAGCTTTGGGTGTCAAGAGCCAGCCCTCTCCTTCCTCTAAGGTTTGCTCCGGACGGCTGGCGTATGACGCAAGCGAACGCATCTTGGCCGCCACGAGTCTCGAGTTTGAGGATGGACCTGAAGCTTTTGCATGTAAGGGGTACCGTAACTCTTGCTACACCTGGGGTTTTCTCGATTCATTGCTGCATTGGCTCCCAGTTCGGGTTTTCTCGTGGCTTCTGCTTCGGGTGCTTGTTTGGCTTCACGTGGGGCTTCCTTGCTGAGGCGTGTTTCTGTGGCCACATTTTGACGATCGGTGTAGGCGATGGAGTCCGGGCCTTACTTTCACACACACAGGCGCGCGCACGCACGCACACGCGCGCACGCA